GTAGGATACAAGAAGAGGTTGCAAAGAATGTGTTTGACATATTAAACCTGCTTATTTCACTTCATGAGAGTCACAATCAGCGATTTTTCACACACTCACTCACTCACTCAGCGATCAGAAAATCACTGATTGTGACTCATAGAAAGCAAAATTTACAGGTTTTATTATTCCGAAAAACATTATTTTAGCTGAAATGAGTATTTACAACCTTGCTTTAAACTGTATAAAACAACCGTTCTTTCAGTTCTTGAGTATGGATCTTGTTTGCAGGTGCCATATTATAAAAATCAAAATGTAAAAAGTTGTACATTAATTGAAATTTTTCAAACACCATCGAATTACCCCTTGACGCATGAAGCGTTCGCAAAAAGTTCACTCACCGAAATGTTCATTAGATGGTAAATGAGTTCCTTTGTACCATTTCGGGCGCCAAAGCGTAATTCGATAGCCAAACGAAGAGTCTAAGCAAACCACGCGTAAACGCACGGACATCGACCTGCACAATTCTGCTTTCAGGATTTGTTGACCCGTCCCATCCTTTCATGCACTTCGGGTGGGAAGCGAATTGGCATATGCGTTAACTTGATAGAAGGAGAATGCTTTCCTTCGTAGTTTTTTACAAAAAACTAGTATGCGTGAAGGCGATTTTTTGAACTTCGTGAAAATCAACTTCGTTGATTTCACGTAATTTCCGGCGACGAAGATTGCAATTCTTGCGCCTAATCTGAGGACCTTCAGAATTGATTCTTTCACTTCGTTCTGGTTTGTGGAAGAGGCGAGAGCGGTCCGAGTTTCAGGTATCGCACCGTGGTGTGAATTTAAAGGTGAATTAGTAAACGTGAAATTGTCTTTAAGTTTGTTAATTTAGATTTTCTTTATAAATTCCCTCGATTAGCTCGTTAGTTTTCGAAATTATAGCAGAAAGCGCTTAGTGCGTTAGTTCGGCGGTTAGGAGTGTGCGAAGGTGTTTTGAAATCGAGGTAATTTTGTGTGCATAACTTTGTTCAGTGTGCAGATGTTGAATGCCACGCGACGGAATTTCTCTTTGGCAGATTTGTGGCAAGTTGCGAAGCTCTTCACACCACCCACATCAGTATCAGTCAGCGACCGTTTTCGACCCCATTTTCCAGCTTCGAAGAACTCCCGGTGGTACCAAAGGCCGGAAAAGGGCAGCAAAAAGGTTTCCGCGCCCTAGGCACAGCGAATTAATTAATTAATTTAGCTTTATTTAGGAGGCTTTCAGCCTTAGGCTGGTTCGCCTCCAATAGGCACAGCGAGCAGCAACCTACTGGTTTCGAACCGGTGGGCTTCCTCTCCAGCGGCAACCACTTTCCGCAGTTTCCCGTCGACGGTGACGACCATCGATGCGACGGCCGTACCCCGTCTAGGTAGAAGACCACAACTCAGCGTGTGAGGCGTAGTTGGAAAACGACATCGGCTATGTGCAGTCCGCAGTAGCATAGTTTCGGAGTCCGTAGGAGTATCGCGTGTGGTACACGTGGGTCCAACCGGCATCATCGAGCAACCGCCAATTCCTCCACGCAAGTAGCGAGTCCAAAACGTGAGTAACATGCATGTTCACAAAATTCCCATGCGCATGGTGAGTTAAAGCCCCTAGCATAGCATAACGGCTAGCGTGGCCGCTGTTCGTTCAGCCGTTACCCATTCCGATCCGCGCAAGCGTCGGTAACGCCAAACAGCTTTTTGTAGCACACACAAAATGAACACCATTCGTCGCACAGCACACTAAATAAATACCGCCAGAAGAAAGAAGAAAAGGATAGCTAACTAGAGGGAATGAATTTGAGATAGGCCTAGAATAATAAATTGTCGATAACGTAGGAGTACGAAAATAAACCATGGTGAACAAGAGGTAGTTTGAATATGAATAGGATGCGTTTTCAATAAACCAACACACTACAGATAAAAAGTTTTTGTTCATCATTTCCCAAAGTGATCTAGAAAAGCAAATGTAAAGCTTTTTCAGGTTTCCGGTCGTTTTCTTTTGAAGTTTTTGCAGAGTTTTACTGGGGAAGTTGGCCCCGAAACCAACCAGGATATATCTATATTCGAACGGGATCCGTTCGTAGTGTTGTGTCAAGCCTGCCCGTGATGATAAAATCCGCGAGAGCGATTCATCGGTGGCAGAAATCGTTTTCGTGAGCTTCATTCTTTTATTGGATTCTTTCACGACCATAGGTCGAGGGCATTCCCGTCCTTACCGTAATCGATCAACAGCCAACTTGCTTCCCGCTCATTCATTTGGGAAAAAACAGAACCTTCCCTGAGAGGTCTCATACGGTCGGGCAACCCTAGTCTCGGTAGATGGTCTCCCTCGAGAGTGGCGCTTAAGCCATTTTTACTAAAAACGGGAAACTCGTAAGGCTGTCGGGTTACAATCTTTATGCTTCCTCTCGGCAACAAAAAGCCACCTAATTAATTTGGAACGTATTCGATATCGTTGTTTACGTATTGCCCCCCTAATACGACGTATTAGATTAAATACTCAACAATACTGGCTCAGCCCAAAAACAAGACGAAATCAGTGGTTGCCAAGTAGAAGGTCGCGAGTTCAATCCCAAGCTCAACCTTTTTTTTATTTGTGTTCTTCGCCTAATTAATTTAAATCGTAATCATCAATCACATCACTCACGACAATGAATTCACTGATCTAGTTAAAAAAAATAACCCGCATCCTTTCCTTGGAAATTGGCGAGGTGAAATGGTAAAATTGGTCTACTGTAAAACAACATTTCCACTGGACTTTGAAGGAGATATAGCTATAAAATTGCTATCGGGAGTGCTGATAGGTATTCAGTTTCAAGCAAGCGTTTATTGACTATTGATCTGCCCATATGATGCATCCTAGGATAGCTCAGATGACATGTATATATCTTATAAATTGTGTTATATCTGTGTGGTGCGTTCCCCGTCCGAAACATGAAAACAATCACTAAAGAAACAACCAACCCTGTCTCCCGTTCATTTTTTAATTAAACGTTACTTCACATGAGAATCCAAGGGTAAACAGCATCGTTGTTTGAGGAAGCAATTATGTCTAATAAACGTTGAATAATCAAAAATCTGATTGAATAAGCTTTGTTACAGCTGAACACGAATCGAATAAACTTACACAACAAAATACAATGCTGTGTTGTGGCTGAATAGATTCTCCGGATGTGTGTGAACAAAGGCTGAACAGAAGTTATTATTAAAAATAGTACAAGTATTACAATGCACTTGAATAAAATTGTTAATAAGTCGTTTCTTCAATAGGTGATTGTTTTTTGGGGTGCACTGGAGGGTTGAAAAAAGTTTTGACTTTAAATATTTAAGAGAATAAGAGCTGATTTGTGTCATCATGCTACAATTTGAAAAAATGCAATCAACCAGTAGGCTGCGGCTGTTATGTTCAGTGGAATTTATGTCTCTGCACTACACGTCATATGAGATCAACTCAAAATTTAGCCTGATTTAAATCAAAATCGTTAAAAGTGGAGTTACTTCCTATACACTGAATGAGCATTAATTATCCTCCATTTTATTCCAAAATCTGCTTGAATATGACGAAAATCCAAGAAAATGCATTTTTATTATTTTTTTCGAGTATACTCATAGACTATACTATACTAGCAAAAAAAGATAACCATTACGGACTGTCCATAAACCACATAGATAGTTAAGGAAGAGGAGTGGGGGGCTGGCTCGTGGCTACGATCCATAAAAATTTTTAAAATATTTTTTGAACGATTTGTATGACTATGCAGGAGAAGCGTGGTCGAAAATCTCTAAAGATCCTTTCTACGTAGCTTATGGCCATCCCCTCTCAGGTCCAGAGTGTTGGTTTGAGTCCAACATATTGGCATGTCTGCAGTAGTTTTGATAATTTTCCAGAATGTGAGAATCATTTTAAATCTAACAATTTTGCCACTTATGCCGTGGACACACTTCGATGACAAACTATGACCATGAGGATCAAGATCAGGATGAGATTGATATGCAATTACTTTGCTTAATGGAACAAACAGACTTGATGTTGTTCTGTTATGTATGCCAATTGATAATGGATAACTTTATTATCTTAAAATTGACGAAAATCCATATGGGACTGATATGCAATTATAGGCAGTACACTTGTATGACAAACTATGAACTATGAATGACCATTATTTGGATACTAATTATGAGCACTATACAACAACTATACAAAAACTATAGAAGTGTGACCATGGATGTGCTCATAATTTATTACACAAATAATGGTCTTGTTCATAGTTTGTCATACAAGTGCACTGCCTATAATCGCATATCAGTTCCATATGGATTTTTGTCAATTTTAAGGTAATAACGTTATCCATTATCAATTGGCTTTCATATTACATATTAAAACTACGGATTTTTATGATGAAAAATGTGAAAACAACATCAAGTCAGTTTGTTCCATTAAGCAAAGAAATCGCATATCAATCCCATCCTGAAATAAGGCCGTCCAGCGGTCGAGTTACGGTTCTGCTTTTTGGATCGCGATATTTTTCAATGATTTAACAAAACTTTAAAAAATTATCAATTAATTTTCTATCATTTTTCATATATTTACATGGCATCGTAACTTCAACTGCCATTTCCTCCTGCCTACTTTGGTCCATATGTGACTGATATGGGAATAATCCCAGTGTATCCGCGGCATTACTCGCACTACTGTTCTAAATGACAAATACTCTCACTACACATCTGAACCGAGTGACCCGACAAAAAAAACTGTAGATTAATTTGCGCTAATCTACCCCCTATGAAAAGGCGTGCTTTGAATAGAATAGATTTGCACCTGTCACACAACACCAACCGACAAATACTATTCCCGCATTCATACTCACACATTCATAAGCCGGTCACACATCCTGGAAATTGTTTGATTCTGATTACCATCAGGCAGTCAGTTTCATATATGTATATCCATTGGAACCTACAATAGCAAGGTCGTTATGTACTGTAACACCTACCTCGTCACGGCAGTCCACATGCACCTTGCCGCTATCCAAAACTCGTTTCAGCAACATTTCGTCTCCGCGTAATGCAGCCAAGTGCAGCTGTACATCTGATAAGGTTTCTTTCTGCAAATTGAGACGAGCAGGAAGAGAAAACAAAGAGAAATAAGAAGGAGTTAGTCCGTAGAAATGGATCGTGTGAATAAAAACTAGGTGAATGGAAATGCAAGCAATTGCAAGCAAGTGCAGTGGCGCAATTGTTACCTATCCAATGATGGAACCAAACAGAAAAACTTCGGAACGGAGCGGCGATTAGATTGATTCCACGATTGTATATAAATGGAAAATTAAACTGTGGGCAGAGCGGACGGCCCTTGCCGATGCACACGGATAAGCAAACAAATTCCCGCGGGTGAGTGTTTTGGGTTTCATGACCTTCAATATCAAAAAATATTCATCTGAGTTCGCTTAAACGAGGTGTCTTTTGTTATGTTTGCGGTTTATTGAATTTTGAATAAATTCTATATAGTTTTAAAAAAACGGAAACTGGTGTTATATATTGAATGAGTTAGCTAATTTTCCATCTAAAGCTATGTTCATACCACAGAGTTATGACATTAGTTAACTAATTCTAGCGTTCAGAATCATAAGGGCTTAACTGCGATGATCGATACTTCTTATCGTTTTTTTTTTTTTGCATTACCATAGTTCAGTGACAAATTTCTTCCACACCTGGACCCTACCTATCGACCCATCAAATCATGGACCGGCGACCAACGGCTTTACTTCTCTTCCCGAAGGAAGGCGTGATCAGAGATTTTATGCCTCTGAAAATCCCGGCGGCGCCAACTGGGATTGAACCCAGTGCTTTTGGGGTGAGAGGCAATCACGCTTACCACACCACTGCATTTCCGTGTCCTGGCAGCAAAGTTTCTCATTATAATAAGGAGCATTAAAATAAAAAAAAAAATCTTCAAAACTCAAAAACATGACGCCTAAATTTAACTTTTTACTCTTACATTCTCGAGAAAATGTGGCGTCTTGAAAAAAGTTGTTTTCGGAACCTTTTCAAGACGTCAACATTCCGCAGCCTACTGTTTCGCAGTTATTTGTAAATAAATTTTAATAGGTAGTTATTAATAAATATTTTTTCTTGATTTCTTTTTCGTCGATCTTGTGTTCCTGAGTACCAATGCTACCGACGCCAGGGAGGCAGCTCCCATGCCTGGAACCTACCTATCGACCCATTACAACCCATAGTCAACGGCTTTACAATCTTATCCAGGGTTGCTTCCACTCACTTGCTATAAAAAAATATTTTTGGGAATTATGCAATCATTAGAAGTTATAATTCTATGTTGCACTTATAAGTAACAAGAAGAGGGTGTAAAGTATGTGTTTGACTCATAAAACCTGTCAATTTCGCTTTGAGAGCGTCACAATCAGCGATCTTATGATTCGTGAGCGTTCACTCAGAGTGAGCGCTCACGAGTCGTAAAATCGCTGATTGTAGCGCACTCAAAGCAATATTGACAGATTTTATGTGTCAAACATATACTTCATGACCTCTTCTTGTAACTTACAAGTACTAATTAGCATTAAACTATTTCATGATTACATAATTCCGAAAAACATTTTTTTATAGCAAGTGAGTGGAAGTAACCCTGATCTTATCTATTCCCTTAATCAGGTTTCTCTTTGAGTTAGTGAACCATTTTACCGACATTTGTCGTAGACTAGACAGTGATGTAAAAGTTTGTATTGGGTAGCAAAAACAAAAGGTAAGACATCGATGAATGTATACATATTTAACCGAGTTATTAAAAAAAGAGAAAATCGTAGGCCCTAATGATTCTGAACATTTGAAATTCGAAAAATCTTGTTTCGTAATTCAAAATGTCATTTCAATATCAAAACTTCGCAGCATATTTCATTTACATGATGCCGACTTATTACTACATATGATTTGATCAGCTTTTCGTTTTCTCAATCAATTGTACAAAATGCTCATTTGTAGGCCGCAATGTTACTTATTTCCAATGAGAATTGAACTTGAAGCAAACAGCGAACGCACATGTCTAGCAATTAGAATCATAAGGTCTTAACTACGATGATCGATTCTCTCTATAGTGCTTCTGTTTGGATAACCTCAGTTAGTTAAAAACAAATCCGATTATTCCAGTGTGTTGGGGTTGTATTAGGTAACAAAACAGTTGCATATTTACTGATGAATTTTAAACCAAACGAACTATAAGCAAAACAAAAATTCAATGGAGAGAATCAACCATTGTAGGTTGAAACTTAGGACTCTAAATGCTAGATATAATTTTAGAAAAAGATTTCTGTATGTTATTTTTCATATGATTATGAGAGCATTAGCGGATGTGGACGTAGATATTTCATCAAGTCTAAAATAATATGCGGACTCGATTAAACACAAATTTGCTTATTACGAATCATTTGGTGAATAGCTTGTTAAACAGCTTATTCAGGTAAAACGAGGCTTATTAAGTTTGAACTTATCTTGTTCGGTTTTTAATCAGACTAAATTTTTGCTGGATGGTTATTTCCGAAAACGAATATTACGATGTAGAGCGCACACGAGAAACTAGGTAGAACTGAATGAATTCTTAAAAAAAACTGGAAGAATCCAATATAAACTGGAATGTTAGCATCACTGCTTAGTACATCAAAGGTACATAATAATGCACGATAAAAATAAAATCATGATAATTTTTCCAAAAAAATATTATAAGCAATTCGCGCCTTTAAAATTAATTCCACAATTTTTGTGATAGCACAGCACTCTCTTCGCAGTTTTCGCGACATATTTAATGTTTCTGCGAATTTCACGACTGAATGTTCAAATCCACGACATATCCGTGAATATCGCGAAATCCACAAAATTCGTTAAATCATCGCCTTTTGTAACAGCCCTGAAATTCTGAGGTGAATGAAGTGTTCGTGCATCATAAGGAGAATTCAAGCTAATTAAAAATGGTAAGAAGTTTTTTTAGAGAGAGAGAGAAAAAATCAAATTCAAAAAGAATCTTAGAAACGCATTTCATTAATTGTTCGAAGTGTTCTGCAGATTGAATTGGTATGAAGAAGTTTTCTAGGGGTTCCCAAAGAGGAGCTCAAATATTTTTTAGAAGAGTTCTGAATGAAAGGAAACTGATTCAAAAGGAAATGAAGGGCTAATTTTCATGGTAATTTAGGAAAAATCCTTCTAAAGTCTTAGCAATTCCCCATTTAACCTATTCATCTTTCTGTATAATTGCATTCAGTTGTATGCTTTATTTAAATGCATATATGTAGCACAATCAGAAAAATTTCCGAAATTCCGGGAAAAACCTGGATATGTCTAATTATTTTCACTTGCATTATTCCTATTAACAGTGCAAGTGGTTCGTGGTTAAAAAAGGTTTTCTCTATTGTAGTACATATTGCCGAACTTTTTTTTTTATGTACGACTACGGCTTTCTTTACTATACTGGGGGTCACATTACGAAATCGAAAATGTGGCATGTAACGAAAATGGGGGGGGGGGTGTTTTCAAACGCATATTTCTCAAAATCTTTAATGGGGAATATGTCATGCAATATGTCATTCGACGGATACATTATTCACCAATAGTGAAAAGAGTTAAACAATTAAGAAATTTAACAAACAAGATAGGAATATTTCGTGAAGAAATCAGAAATGCGGGGGTAGGCAAGATTCCATGTTCTCTCTCACGGTCATCACTTTCCAGCCCATGCAAAAATCCAACTCGCACTGTTTCATGCTCAAACGATGGTTTTCATTTTGGCGAGTCGATCGGAGCTCAGAGTAACGCTAGAATGAGGAAGACGAAGTGCGGCGTCCACAAAAACGACTGCCAAATCGCTCCCACCGTCATTTACAGCCAGACAGTTGAGCAAGTTGAAACTAAGAGCCAACACTTATACAGGGAAAGATTCCTGCAACGAAATTTTTTGTGGTATTTACATTTGTGTCGATTTTCTAGCACTGCAAAAAAGAAGCCAGCATAATGTATAGAGGGCATCAGCGTTTACCAGCATGATATTTCAGTAGAAATTGAAATACGTGCTAATTTGCTAGTACACTAGCGCTAGCAAATCCGCACAGATGTAAACACCCTATTACTATAGGGCAGCGCTGCCCAAGCAAATTTCCTGGGATGTACAAATTGTTGAGAAAGATTCACTTCCACAGCTCAAAGACTAAGGGAGTGTTAACATAAACGCTGGTTCACTAGTTCAACCAGCTCAACCAACTAGCACAAATTTCAGTTGTCCCTTAATGGGGTGTTTACATCTGTGTAGATTTGCTAGCGCTAGTGTACTAGCCAACTAGCACGAATTTCAGTTGTGTGTGTATGTGTGTGTATTCAATCTAACCCCCACTGGCCGGCAGTGGTATTATGGAAGAAATTTGCTTACAACAATCCTTGATGTAATAATTTAAAGCAAGTTTAGTCCGGGAGTTAGAAAGCGATAGCTCTACTGCAGATTCGGCAACCCATTTCAGAATGCCTTTCCGAGGTTACTTTCACATACAATAAGCCCCGCATGTAAAACTACCGTTATCATATGAATAATGGTACTGCAAACACACTTCCAGATTTCGAAATGTGATGTTTCGAAATCTGGCGCGTATTTAGTAATATATGGAAATGTGCATTTATGATTGATTATAAATCAGATGGATCTCACAAAATTCTGCCTCCGAAAAAGGATCGGTTTGTTCACTCGCGGTAATCGAAAAAATCTTCCGCGTTTTTTTTACAACCCAACACGACATTTTGAATCACATTCGAAGTTTTTCATATGCACCGTATTTTTGCTTGGAAGGCAGAACGCCAGCACCAAGAAAAGAAAAAAAAATACCCGGTAAAACTCTTCTTGGGAGGGAGGCAAAGCACCAAAAACAAGCGAAATGAAAACCGACCGACGCGACACCACAGCAACACAGCTACTCGAAACAAATTCTTGTCCCAGATTTTTCACGTTAATTACAATATCACTAAAAAAAAACTTCTTAAGACGTGATAGACCTTAATTTACACTTATCCACACGCGAAAACTAATATTTGTTTGATTTGGTACAATTAAAAAATATGC